CCAACTTCTGACAGGTGGCTGAAGGAATTAGGAAATGTGCTACACCTAGAGAAAAGATACACTGTGTCAAATAAACCAGGTTTATTTCAGAAAATCTCACCAGTCACCAGTCTGATTGGAAAAACTGGCATGAAGCTTTATTGGTGTTACAGACTAACAATGTCATATTGTAATCTGAACCTTAACTTGGGTAAGTATGTAACAAAAACAAAAAGAAAAGCTCCAACTGTCCAGGACGTCTGACCCTAGAACCTTCTTGTTGTGAGGTGACAGTGCTAACCAGCACCCGGCAGGTTTGTTTTAGGAGCCAATAGCATTTAGTGTTTCTTGTTATAAACTATGCAGTGATATGAGGCCTGTAAAGATATGAATATTAGAAAGCAGGAGGATAGGAACTCTGAAATAAAGTGCAAAGGCCTTAGTGATTTTTTTTTCTTTAACCTACATTTTTTCTTTCTTTTTTTGCCACCACTGACTGTGATATAGGCTGGATAGGTGCTACTGTTCTGACCTGTCCCGCACAGCATAGCTCATCATGCCGGTCGACTGCTGGGAGCTGCTCTGCTGGACTCGTGAGCAGGGGTTCCAGCTGGAGGAGCGCTCTGATCTGCTGTCAGACAGCAGCCTTACTCTCCTCTATCCTGATAACTTCCTCAGCTCTCTATTATTCTTCTAGACCCAGTTGAGCTGGGATTTTTTTTCTTTCTCTCTCTCTCCCTATCCTTCCACTCTGTCTCCCTTTTTCAACTTAATAATGGAATCAAGCGCCCCTCCAGAGCAAGCAGCAATGCTGGCCCCTGGTGAAGGAATCATTTTCAGTGAGCATGTGTCAGTCAGCAGGTATAGGAGCACTTGTGGAGTCAATTTGGCATGGAGGAGTAGAGCTATAATACTGTGTGCCAGAGAATATGAAAAGCTCCTCAGTGAGGCAGAAGTGGTGAAATGCAGTATATTATGACAGAAGCTTGCGGTCTCATAAGAAGATTTCTGAGATACTACACAGCTCACATTGTCATTATGGAGCTAGTTAAAGTGGTCTGCTTACTATTCATTACCCTTGGTGATAAATTCAGCTGTGCTTCATCACATCTCTCACTGCTGAGGTGTTGCCCTTCATACATCACCATTTTATATAAGTGGATGTAATGTTCAGACACCTCTTGCATGGCCTGTTACCTTGACAACAATTTTTTTTCAAGACAGTCATGTGAAGTCATTCCCATGCCATGTGAATGTAATCATGACCCATAACTGAATTTAGCCCCCCACCAAAAAAATTAATCTTATTAACAATTTAGAAAACTGGATTAGAGTAACAAAATCTTTGTTGTACAGCTCAAGGTCCTCTCAATCAACTGGTACAGCTTGATCCTCTGATCAGTTTAATGTTGACTTTGCCAAGTATTTACGTCTGGATCGTAGTGCACACACAGAAGCAGACTGTCAGCTGGGAATAATTCAATATGTAGACTGGCTGCCTGCAACTAGCTGTAATGTGCAGTTGGTTATGAAAATAGAAGTGATGCAGCTAAAAATGTCCCGGGCTGAGGCTCTGTTGAACAAGCACTCGCTTCAGTCATTCTGATTCTTGATTATACTGAGTCAAGAGTGGGAGTGGAAAAAAAAAGTTTAGAAAGGCTACTGTTTGCAAACATCACCTCTCTGAGAATAGGCTGCTGTATTTAAGTGGGTAAGAATATAGCTGGCAGTCCTCCAGCTCCGCACTATGTTGTGGACATAGCAATCAGAAAACAACAGCAGGGCATACATGAGGCTGCAAGAGGATGGAGCTTTCAACCATGAGCACAGGTTCAACACTGAAGCATTTGGAACACGGAGCACGGACTTCTGAAGCTTTCCTCTGCGTTAGCTCAGGTCCCAAGCGCACCCAGTGAATAATCAGTGTCCTCACAACATATGACACAACTTTAATTGAAAACAAGTGAGTCATGGTTGCAACTGAGATGAATAGATTAACAAACATCAATAAATTGTGAAGACAGATTTATTGTTACCCTCAGGCTGTTTTTTAAGTGCACTGTGGCTCTCTGGGTGTGAACAATGTCCCATCAATTCCCTCAACTACTTTTCTGACAGTCTGACAAAGCCAAATGAAAACACATTGCTGTGGTTTGGTTTCACGTACTTATTTTTGGACTATATTTAATATGCATGATGTTAGCAGTTTAAAACATTAAGGTGTTGTCTAGAAACAAAAAGGTTTTACTTGCACAAAGTGAATGTGAAAGAAGTCGCTCTAAAATTGAAGGATCCTGTTATCACGTAATAACCTTGGCGGATGAGCTGCATACATATCGTTTAATAATGATAATCGTTTGCTCTACACTGTCTAATTTTAGTGTGTTAATAACGTGTGAATTTTAAAGAGATTTTTATTAAGTCGTGTTAAGGAGGGGGGAAAAAACTCCAACGGTAAAATATGTTTGGCAATTTCTTTTCAGTTGTCTGCTCTAACAGGAAATTAGTGTGAAGCTGATCCTCCTGGAAAAGAGCAACGGCCTTGATGCTATAAGGGGATTTGTTATATTGACCTATCTTTGCAGAATAAAAGAAAGGCTAGGAGACAGGTTTACATTTCCCCCATCACTGAAAAACTTACTTCATTTGTATCCAGATTTGAAAACCCAATAGAAATGAAAGTATGTTCTTAAAGAAAAATGTGTTCAGTCCACAGATGTTTCAAACTACAAGTGGGTCCACAGTTTAATGCATTTGCTCAGAGAGCTGACTTTTTAAACTGCTGGTTGTGTGTGCATTGTTGTTGCTTTGTGTGCTTATCATTGAGAGTTGATGATTGCAGGGAATATTAATTTCGGAGTATTGCTTGGTTATGTCCCACCCCTCCCGAGCCGAGGGCTATGTACAGCACCGGATTCCTGCCAAAAGCCTCTTTTTGTTTTGAGACACATTTCATGTCTGCATTTTTCTCCTTTGATAAGACTTTCATCCTGTTTTCATTGATTACTGTCTGATGAGTCATCCTGATAATACAGTGCAGGCAATTCATCTCTCCACCACACACTGTAGGCTCTTTGTTGCATGGAATGCGTGTGTGCGTGTTTTTCTGAATTTCTGCCTCCTGCCTGTGAATGACGTGGTTGCGATACATAGCGCGTGCGTGTGTTTGTTTGTGAACGTGCGGTATGTACGTCTGCGTGTCTCCATACAAACAACATGCCAGTTCCCTGAAGTGTAAGCCACTGCAACAAACACCCAGCATTTGCAGTATCAGGGCCCTCATTTTCTGCTCCGTGAACAGGAAAGCAAGCTTCCACAAGAGAGAAAAATGGCCAAGTCGCTTATTAACTGCAAGTCACATTAATGAGCCAAGACTGTGTAATCTACAAATACATCCAATATAGGTTTATGATAAATAGTTCCACTGTAATGTCGATCTTTGCCTCGTTCTCTGGCTGCAAAAGGCGTGATTTCAACCTCTGTGCTCAACCTTATTTTCCACACAAAAATCCAAGCAGAGTGTGACAGGCATAGCTACCTTTGAACAATATGACCCCAAGGAAATTGTTCTGTGGAAGAAGCAAAATATTTGCTCACTGGCTGTATCTGAGCTATGCGGAAAGTGAGTCGCTAGTAAGTTCAAAGTGGCTGGAGTGAGGACAATCCCCGCTCTGTCAAGAATTAGAGCCACCTCTGCAAATAGGCCCGTGTGTAATGCCTCAGGGTGGGAGTTTCACCGAGGCTGGGGTTTCCATGTAAATAAACAGTGTGGGGGTCTCGGTGGGTGGAGAGCCCCCACCACCACCACCGTTCTCCCTGGGGTTTGGGCCCAGCCTTTTGTTGCCTTTAATCCAAGCACTCTCTATTGAAAAGCATGAGGGGGTGCCTGGGTGAGATTAGCCCGCCAGCTCTTGTGAGTGCTTGAGTTTCTCACAGACTGCCCCCATACTTTTGGAAATAACACAGTTATCCCACATCCTCAAGGAGGCTGACAAGAATGACAAGTAAGACGACTGCTGGGCAATCTCAGACCTTAAGGTGACATAATGACCTCAGCTTTCCCCAAAGTGAAGCATGGCTGGTTGTATTTAAGTCACTTACTGCAAGGCTTTACCAGACTTGTTATAACCATAATTTAACTCCCCACTATTATACACAATTACATCTTGAATATGTGTGAAGATTTCACACGCATCTGTTGCTAATTTAGCAGCTTTGAATGCATGTAGCACTTTAGAAAGATCAGAGATAATGTGATTTTCATTTGCAGCTGTATGGATGTGGTGTTGCCTCTTTTGTTTCACAACCGAGAAACACACATAGTTAGTAGCTACATATACACAAGCAGTCAAGTGTCACATTTCTGCCTTGTGAAAGCAAAACACATATCTATACAACACAACTTTAATATCATGTCTAATGTTAGAACAAGTGGATTGGCCTCTGTGATAAAGGTAAACAAGAGCCTTTTGTCTGCTAGTTACATAGGCCCATATGTAAAGGAAAACTACAGGTTGTAATGTTACAACTGTTTGCATGCTTCCTTTCTTCCTTTGTTTAATGTAGGCTCTCATTACCACGTGGTGGTAACAGATTGTTTGAACTGGAGAGAAAAGCCATTCGAAGCTAATTAAGCAGCCATTCCAGGCTCTATTCACAGGCAGAGGACCGAGGAGCACAGGCATTTGTCAGCGCTTGACCCCGCGTGGTATTGATTGACAACGCTGCCGCGTGAATGACAGGCTTGGCGCCGGCGGGCCAATAGGAAGCCGGCGAGTAAGTGCGCCGCGCGGCCATTGGACGAGAGGCCTTAAAGCCGCAGAGGAGTCCCACGTGGGGGCAGAGCCGAACCTTCAAAACAAGGCGCAGAGGCAGCGCTCAGACATGGCTGATGTTCATATCACACAAAGGCAATCATCTCCTCTTCCCCCGCTGAGCAACTATCATCCAAATGCTGATAGGTAGACGAGCGGGTATGTTGTTCAAGAATCTCGAAACACTTACGAGAAATTATATCGAGACGCTCCCGTGGCTTCAATTTTGGTGGGTGTCGTCGATCGATTGGTCATTATATTGTGCCCTTCACGCTGTGCGTGTAGGAAGAGGTAGTGATAGTGGTGGCGAGAGGGAGGGGGGGTTAAACCCGGATATTTCTGGTTTTGCCCGCTACTTTGTATATTTCGTGTTAGCATTTCTTCGTATTTTGTAACCACGTTTTACAAGAAGCACTCCCCTCATCCGTTTTTCTGAGTGTGGGGATAAAAATTCACCGTACACCCCCACCCCTCCTCCTCCCCCGTCCCGCTGGTGGTCTTACCCCCTCAAAAAAAATTCATCATCTTATGTCGGAGGCGCGCACACACAGTGAGGGGGAAAGGAAAACACCCTAATGAAGCGCGGATGTGGAATTTGTGCTGTCTCTGTCAAATTTGGATATCATCGTCGGCACATCAATGCCTGCTGTTGTTGCTGTTGTACACGGTGGGACGGACGGATGATGCCTTGTGGATCCGCGGGATGATGTCATGTACCGTTGCACCCCACGTGGGGGCCGTCGCTCTCCGATAGGCAGATGTGGCCGTATTCCTTCCGAGTAATGCGATTGGACAGATAGGCGCTTTCACGGCAGTTCAGCCCTGCTGCCTGTGTGTGGCAACCGGGGTAAGCTGGACAACTGGGGGAAACGCGAGATTGTGGAGAGTACCATGTTACGTTTTTAAAGAATCTCCAACCTCTTCGAGTCGGAAGACAGATTTTGGAAGCATATTTATTTATTTTTTTCTTCTTCTTCTTCTTCTTTGTGGGATTAACCAGCCGCAGAAGGCGCACATTCCTCGGAGGTTCGCGGTTGAAGAATAAAGTATAGTTTAATCGAGCCCGACCGCACTAAAAAATTTTCTCCCAGCCCGGCTGGGTGCGTTCTGGAGAGAGCGAGGGAGAGAGGATGCTTGACGAAAACTGCGTCCACCAGGCTTACATTAGGAGGGATTAAACGCATGAATTATAGCCTGCTCAGTATTTTCTTCGGGAGCAGAAGTCGGACGGACGCTTCGGACTCACGCACGGGTACGTATTTACAAGAGCTGTTGATTTCTTTCTTAGTTTTTTGTCTAATTTTTGGGCGTACGCTCGACCCCGCTTCCACGACTCTGAGCGGGAGTCAAACAGTAGGTGCAAGCCAGCGGCTGTCGCTTATGGCCTGCCTGTAGACGTCCTACGGACCGGGTGAGGGGGCGGTGGTGGTCATTTCACAAACAGCAGTCAGTTTCCGTTCTTTTTTTTCCTTTTATTATTATTATTTTTATTAAAGAACGAAACGGATCTGAGCATTAAAATTGCACGGCGGATAAGTGGCTTCTCCAACCTCGTCTACGTGTTGGCATCATGTTAAACTGCACGTTGAGATTTGTTAGGATATCGAGTCTGACCACTGACCGAATAAGGTCATCAAGAAGACAGAAGCGCTCGACTGTTGTGCTGCTTCCCTGACTCGGCTCGAACTGCTGCGGTAACTGGGACTAGTGTGCTGTGGTGACTACTTACTTATTGGTAAACAGTGTAAAGTGTATGTGTGTGTGTGTGTGTGGTTTTTTTTTTTCTATTTTATTTTTACGGTTATAGATTAAACCGCGTCATTTCTCAACACAGGATTTTCACGACCTCCCTCCCCCCCCTCTCCTCATCCCCTGCCTCCCCCCTCCCTCACTCCCCTCGGCCCTGTCTGCTGAGACTGGTGTGGCTGTGAGCAAATTTCACCCGTTTTGCCAAAGGACCTGTACACTGGAGGGATAAACAAAGGATACATTTCAAGATGTATCCACAAGGCCGACATCCGGTAAGACTCGCTTCACCTATACTTAGAGAAGATTGCATATTTATTACAAAACACTGGTGCTGGTGTATGGTTCCTGCCTGTGCCGTGTCCTCCCCCACGTTCTCCTGAAACATGCCCTGCAAAGCGTTTTCCGCTCTTAATGCAGGTCATCAGATTTCTGTATGGGTTTCATTACAGTGCATTTATGCTTCATCGGAATATGCAGTCAGTACTAAATGGATGCAGATTGTTTGTATGCCTGGAGATATTTACTCAGCCAGACACTTGCATATGACTGTGTCTGAACGTGAAGACAGGTGGTGGTAGTGGTGGTGGTGATTTGAATTTCTTTTTTGAAATTACATTTCATATTTGGTGTGAAAGCTAATGTGTTATTACCCCCTGGAGGTGTGAATCAGACCCACCTTGTGGTAATGTCTTCCCGCAGAGGAGATGTTATCCTAAAAGCCTGAGTCTAAATGTGTGAACTGTTCAGCTCTCCTTAGCAGGTCACAATGCAGAATAAAACTTTCTCTGTCTCTCTCTTTTTTTCTTTTTTTTTCTTTTTTTTACAACCACTTTTCTTTTCTTTTCTCTTTCAGGCTCCACATCAGCCTGGCCAGCCTGGCTTCAAATTCACCGTAGCAGAGTCTTGTGACAGGATTAAAGATGAATTTCAATTCCTCCAAGCCCAGTATCACAGGTAATGATTATACTCAAAGAATGGCAGTGTCAACATTTACTCTATTGGATTTTGAGGTTAACGCTAATATTTGACTGTTGACTTCTGTAGGAGCATATATGTTTGTTTTTTTAAAAGCATCCCCGTTTTTATCCTGTGCACATCTCTGTTAAGTGGTTAAGTGATTGAAGTGCCACAGACGCTTGAAAATGACACCTGGTCTCCTATTTTAAGTCTTAAGGTGGAGTATGACAAACTGGCCAATGAGAAGACAGAGATGCAGCGCCACTATGTCATGGTAAGATTGTGTTACAATTGAAAGCAATTATGGTTTCCAGATTGCACGGCTTGTTGAAGATCTAGTTGGGGTGGAGTGAGACGGGGCTATTGTGATCACCTATGTGGTTGTTAGGGCGGGCTGAGTGGCAGGTACAGGCCTGTGAAAGCCCCCCCGTGGGGGTTGATGTAGCAGGTTGTTACAGAGGAGCGCTTCCTGACAGGCGGCCGGCAGTGGGCTGCCGCTCCATTATAGCATGCCCCTGATCTCCAAGGGTCGGCTGCAGTGTTGCCCTCTGTGTGTGCTGATCTGATTATTCTCCTAGGAGACTCCACGCTCAGACATATGCATGGCCATAAATTAGGTGTGAGCTGAGGGCGGAGGCCCAGAGCAGCGTGTGGGAAAATACACCACAGTAAACAAAATGGAGGACGTGGAGCACACTGCAGTCTCCTTTATACTCAGCTTCTTTGTAAACCTTAATCATTAGCTTGTTTTTTTTTTTTTTTTTTAAAGTAGCCTTTTAGAAAAACATAGGTGTGCCCCTGACGCAAAAATTAGCTCAGACATGACACACTAAGAAGGCTATCCCAGGTAAACACACCGGGAATTATTTAAACCAATGCATGCAGCCTTAAATTAAACTTCTTTTTTTTTTTTGCTCAGAGGAAAACAGCATGTCGGCCTGACAAGCAGGAGGTTAGGTAAACATGTTGGGAAGTATCCCACAGCCAGCGCTCGGTGTCAGGTTACGCCATGGCTGTGGGGCTCTGATCTCAGACAGAATGGCTCTCTTGTTTGAGAGTAATTTTCGAAGAAGCTAATGGACTGAATAATGCATTGGCCTCATCAAATAGACGCTGACTGGAAAGCCATTTCTGCTCCGGCTGCCACTTGTGGGCTCGGCGGATTACATTTCAGCCAGACAGACTGACCTGGCTGGAAATATGTGTTGAGCAACCGCGTTACTCTAAGTAAACAAACATCACAGGGATCTGAGGGCTTAAGCTGATCAATAACTCTAACCCTCTCTTTTCCGCCCACACTGCAAACAGCGAAGCATTGATTTATTGGCTATTCACTCTGAGCTGCTCAAAGAAATCCTTTTGTTATCTGATCTTATAACGTATCTCCTTTTCCTGTAAAAACACTTTTTATATAGGCGTTATAGTGTTCAAACCCTGACCGCGATGGAATCAGCGCAGCGATAATTACATTAAGGTTACGCCAGTCTCATGAGTGCAGAGCGCAAAAACACTCGCCTGTTGTTACACGTAATAAATATCATCAGATCTTGTAACTGCGCTGACGTCACTAACCACAATTAAATCCCTGCTTTCATTTCAGTATTACGAGATGTCCTACGGGCTGAACATTGAGATGCACAAGCAGGTACGTATCACAGTGCTGCTCATATTTTTCAGCTCATTGGTTTTCCACGGTGTCAGGGGATGTCAGATCCAGGCGGAGCCACTTACAGGCTGTGAGCTGAACTGAGCATCAGTAATGGTCTGAAAACAGGCAGATCCACTGCACACAAACAACAACACAACCCCAAACTTCTGCCACAGCTTGTACAAGTGCTGTGAGCCGTTATTGGAAATTTGCATATGCTGTGCATCCGGGATTTGACTCAGCTTTCTGATAAGATTAAAGGTAGACTTTGGCAGGCTTAGCCTTTTGACTTAATGATTAAAAAGAGAGGCCCTCTGATAGGTCAGTATTTCTTTTTTTCAGGATAAAGTAATTACACCAGCAGAGCAAAAGTCCTTTAGTCACTTCTTTGTGGTCTTATCTTTATCAGAAGATCCTATCTTGTATGTCTCCGCAGATAAATCGCACTGAAGTGATAGAGATTGTGTGAATGAGTGACATTTCATTGTCTATGTTCCCGCGCCCCCCTGCGACTGCCTGGCTTGGTTATAATGACAGCGTTGGCGACACGGTGGGTTGGCGTGTTAGGTCGATCCATCAGTGTCTGTGCTGTGTGTCACACTTCCACATGTCTGTCAGGGCTCAGGCCCTTCTGATAGCTTCTGTCAGGCACTTATCGCCAACCAGAGGAGAGAGGTGGGGGGGATGGTATCAGGAGACAAGTTGGAGAATAGAGCTGGAGGCGGGGCAACAGCCCAGCTCTGTGTAAACAGGTTAATCGACTGATCCATTTTAGCGCCTGACTTTTATCAGGAACCTCAACAGAGCTGATGGAAGCGCTTGAATAATTCATCAGTGGGGCCCTAACCTGCTGAACGGCGTGTTTGTGAGCAAACAGTGTGGGCCCCGTCCATGCAGCTCCCCCAGCTTACAGCTCAGGCAGGGGAGGAGGAGAAGATGGGGAGCGGTTAACAGGCAGGGTTGGGATGGATTATTGGATGCACACAGGCATATTATTTTCCTGCCAGGAGATTTATTCCATGGTGAGGAAATTCATTCCTCTAACTGTGCCTTTTTCATTACTGTGCAGGGACATAATTCACATTTCAGAATGCGTACACGGGCAAAGCTTAGACTGACGTTGGTGGTGTTATCTGATCCCTCTCTATCAGCCATGTCAGTTTGTCGATGCAAACTGCTAATTTCTGCTGCATGATGTCAGCTGGTAATTATCTTCATATGGTGCTTGTTTTCCAAGAGCTGCATGGGGTTTGGGGCTTGTATGGTGCTAAGATTCAATCAGATTAGGTCGTTACCTACGGCCGTAACGCAGCCATGTCTGCAGGAATCATTTGCTAAGTAGCAAAGTATCTGCCGTGGCGAGCGCCAAAGCAAACTTGGTCAGCCAACAGGCTGTCTGCAGTCTTCATACAAAAGAGGCGTGCAGTGAAAAGTGGTTGGAGGAACTGTGGCTCTCCAAGCCATCAGTACTTCCATATCCCCAATCTGTCATGTGGGACTGGACTGCAGTGTAATAATTTCAGGGTGTGAACTGTTGGGTGTCAGTTTCACTTACATAAGCAGAAAAGTTACTTGACTGTACTTTAAGATGTGGCGTAACAACAACGGTTATGTTCTTATGCTGTTTTTGTTAGAATAAGTTTATTGTTTTTTAGATTGTGTCATGCTTTGTTTAGGAAAAAAAAACACAGCTCGACTGCTGCAGCTGACAAGACTAATCACAGTAGTGACTCACGTATTCATTTATGCAGCTTTTCAGCATTTTTCAAATCAATACCAATAACTTTAAATGCCAATTAGAAACTAATTCTGGACTCACTACACTTCTTTATCAAAGACTGGTTTAGTGGAAGCATCATTTTTTGGCTTAAACAAACTCTGATGTTTTTCTTCTTACTCTGAAAACCTGACATGAGGCAACGCTGTCAAAATTGCCGAGCCTCTAAATGGGACTAGTCAAGTATTGTTTATAGATGGATCATGTGACCAGAGCCACCACTTGTTTTCGCTCTACATTTAATACTCATCAGTGTCTCGAGTCCATTTTCCCATTGCTGATAGCAACAGGCGAATACCTCTCTGCACACCATTGACAAGCCAGCCCGAGAGTGCTCTTAAAGTGGTGCTACACAGGTCCGAGTACCTGTAATTGTGTAGCGGCAGTGCAAAGCCAGCCTCTCAAGGGCCAAGCTGTCATCTGCTTAAAGTGACAACAGCCCAATTTTTATCTGCCGGCAGGGGGAAAAAAAGAAATCCTCCCAGCTCTGCACCGTATCTATTTTGACAGCAGTGGCGAGTTGAGTTGTTGCCTTTTCCGTGTATTTGCATGTTGTGCTGTGAGAGTGTAGAGACTGCCAGTTGTTTAGGGCAGAGTGGATCAGCCACCTCCTGACCTTTCCCAGCCAGCTGTCACCATGACACTAAGCTACAGAGGAATGGGCCGTGCGCTCGAGGCCTTTCTGCAAATCCTGTCAAATGTCCGACTGCTATTTACATGGCTTATCTGAACAAACATGGATTATACGGGTCCTGTCGCTTTTCGACCATTTCTGTGGGGCTCCTTCAGCTCTTTCTAGAACACTTACTACGTTGCATTAATACCAGCGCTCGTAAAACATTTATCTTTATTACCTGTAGGTCACATTTATTGTGTGCCAAAGGGGACCGCGGTTCAGTCTCTTTCTTTTTTTTTTTTTTCTTTTTTTTGTCTGCGGGCAATAATCAAGTTATAGTCATTGTTATCTTTTGGACTATTGTACTTCCTGTGACACATGCTGCCATATATTTGTTTGGCATTATTGCATCTGATCCGCGGCTTCATCTGATATTGCATCTTCAGCTTGTTGTTGGTTGTCCTGCTGGCTTGACTGGCTAAGTGGCTATCCATGTTGCAGCTTGGGTCAGCAGGTCTCGTTCTGTTGGACATTACTCTCCAATCTCTCTGGCTCTGCTTAGAGGTAATATGTCTGGCTGCCAAAACTGCCTGGCATTTCTGCCATGTGTAATAAATAAGCTAGCGGTCTGCAAAGTACATTGTGTGTGCTGCTGCTCCAAATGAAAAATCAGAGAAAATCCCTGTGATGTGTTTGTGTTCTGCAGTGGCCCTGGGTTGAACTGCGGCTCATAAATTCCAAAGATGATGTAGCTTTGGCGCTGTTATTTTTCTGCTCCCAGTGCAGAGCTTGAACCTGAAAGTCTCATCTCCTTTCCCTGGAAGGAGAAAGAGAGGCATAGCAGGCCGGCTGTGCAGTGTTTTTACAGGAGACTGGAGGGGGTGGGGGGCGTGGAGCATAGCCCCCCGCCCCCGATCTTTCCCCGCACACCTCCTCCTACTGCTCTTTTTATCCACCATTCATTTGGTACGTTCATGTGATCGACAGGCTGAAAATTCAATTTAATGACCTGCCTCCAAGCACGTAATATGATTTTAAAGCCTGTTACGGTCAAGCAGAGGTGCCATTTGCATAATGATCCCAGCAAGATAGGGCTGCAGCCGTTGCCATGGCAGTTGGTAGACAAGCAGAAGAATGGAGGCAGGGCGTCGTGGATGTTGGGAGGCTATGAGGTTGGTGGGCTGGGTGCTTGATTGCAGTGAGAAACGGCTTGGGCTAAAGCTGTAGCTTTAGCAAACGCCACTTACGACACAGGCTGCTTGCTTAATGGTATTGATTGAAGGTGTCTCCCCTACAATGTTATTACCGTTTGTCTTTGCATTCTCTGCAGTCCTAATTGTTAATGTAAATTCCCCACACTGTTACATGTAAGTAAACAATGCGCTGTAGTTAGTAGGCCTTCCTTCCTGGGGTGTGGTTGTGTGGTTTAACTCTGAGGTTAACTGCAGGACAGCACATTCGCAGATGAGGGGAAGAAGGGCAGAGTGAGAGAGGATCCTCTCAACACAGCAGCACTCTGCCTGCTCATATCCGTTTAGCATGGAGTGCACTCTTAGCACAGCTGTGCTCCATCCCCCTGGGCTCTCCTAATGTTTTAAATATTTCAAATGTCAATATCACGCTGTTTAGAGGATGTTGAGTCAAGCAGTTCTGATTGCCGCAGTAATTGACTTAATCGGTGTAAACATTAAAGGCGGGGTTATATGAAGTCACTGTCTCTTTCATACTTTACCGTCTCATTTTGCTCCCCTTTCTTTGTTTTCCAGACGGAGATTGCCAAACGGCTCAACGCAATTTTAGCTCAAATTATGCCTTTCCTGTCACAAGAGGTGAGTTTTGAGCCCGGTTTCCAAACGGTGTCACAGTTTACTACTAAAGCAATGCCACTTATTGTTGCCTGTACCCTTAAGATAATACTCCTTGCTTTTGGGAATAATTGTGGTTAAGAGCATTTTATCTCACCTTTATAATTTTAGTGTTGCTTTGGAAAAAAACTGTGAAATTCATAGATGAGCAAGTGTGGATGTGTGATAAATAATCTTTTGCAAATGTCTGTCCACAGCACCAACAGCAGGTTGCTCAGGCAGTAGAGAGGGCTAAGCAGGTGACTATGACTGAGCTGAATGCCATCATCGGGGTACGTGGACTTCCCAATCTGCCTCTCACCGTGTGTATACCCCCTTTTATTCCTTTATTTGACCTTGGGTAGGGGCAAACCTTCACATCAAATTCATATACCGAGTAGTCTGAACTGTTGAGTGAACACATTGTAATACACCACTTGCTACACTTATAGTGCAGATTTGCCTCTTTTTAAATCAAATGTGTCATCACTATTTTTTTTTTCATTTCATGACTTATTTTTCACTATTAAATTCAAACGAAACTATTAATATTGGCAACTACACCCCAAAAACAAACCAAAAAAAGACTCATGCATTGCTTTAGCTTTGGCCTCGGTGGCATCTTCAATGCCTTGTTGTGTGTTGATAAATGCGAGCCTGAGAGCTCTCGAGATCCCCCTTCGCAGCTCGTATTGCTTTAATTGGCTAAGGTTTTAATGAGGAGCCTCATCTCTCACAGTTGACCTGGATTGCTGTGGGAATTAAAAGGCTGAGGGTGAACTAAACACAGCCAGCACTGCAAGCTAACTGAGACAGCACAGACAGTCGTCAGCCACCACGGCTCCGCTGCACAGTTCTTTTCACGCCACGGCAGCGAGCTGTAATCCGCTGCATTCATCGTGGCTTCCAAACGCCATCTGCTCCTCATTGATCAGCTGTGCTGACCCTGGCGTGCTATAATGAAAGTGATTGGTTTCACCTGTGATAGAAAGCTCAAACTGTCTGTGATCTTGTGACTACTGTAGACTCTCCGGCACACACAGAAGACTAGCCTAAAGGCTCACTTGATGACTGGAAGCACATATTGGAATTCAATTAATAACCCCCTTGGTGACCTTTTGTTCCTGGATAATTGCTCCCTAGAATTTGCCTGAGTGGGTGTCTTGAGGTGATGGAAAACTGTTTGTTACTCCTCTGTTGGACTGAAATGGATGCTTTATTACAGTTTTTGGAAGAGCAGCTGCTGCAGTAGTTCCTAAGAATAGGAGATTTCACTAGTGGGGCTTTTTGTGTTCTATATGATTTTCACATTTGGAGCATCACAGTACTAGGATGTTGTACATTTGAATTTGTATTTTTCATCATCTGACTGTGCCTTTTTGGGCTTTCAAAGCATTAAGAAAACATTTTATGAGCTATCTGACAAGCTCAGAGTTTTAGTTTGTGGTCTTTTGTGGGAACCAGGACAGTTTTTATGAAACAGTAAAGCTCCCACCCGGGTCACTCAGGTCGCTCACGTCAGAGGAGGAGGAAATGTAACCACTGTATGTTTTACGAATACCTTGCCATTAGTTATTCATTAAGAAGAAGCTCTGTAGGCATGCCAAAATCCTCATGTATTTTGTAAAGCAAGGTGAAAGAGCGTGCCAGGTAGACAGGAAGCATCCAGGAGCCAGCTGCATGTCTTATTGATGGAGCTGAGGGCCATTAATAGAATGAAACTGGGGCAGCTGCATGTGTTGAGATGAACCTGACAAGCAGCGTTTTCTGGCAGATTAGAAAATACCCAAAATATCCGCGTCATAAACAAGGCATTTTAAACTACACTCAGTTAGAGGAAAAAGGAGCAAAGAGTAGGTCTTTATCTTAGAATATTAAATTAGAGAAAATAGGCCAGACTCCTTTATTTATTTATTATTGTCTTCATTTATGGCCCCTGTAATGAGGGCTGTTGCTGATCAGCCATGCTTATTACCCATCAGTGCCTCATTAAACACAATGAGCAAGGATGGCTCTCCCCTGCCAATGAACTGGCTCCTTAATTTCCCTCATGGACACAATATTATAACACACTCGCTCTCTTAGGCTCCCAGACAGACACGGAGAGAGAGAGAGAGCTGTGTCTGTCTTGGGTACGTTTTGTAATTGGATTGACATCTGCCCCATGTAACAAAGCACAAGGTTGCAAGTTAAAAAGTTAGCTATTAGTCATGCTAGTCCTCTACTTCTACAACAGAAAAACAAAAGAACAATGTGGATTATATTTCTAAGGACATATTTAAGCACTAAGTATTTTGTATTCCTGCTACAGAATTTAGGAGTTCCTGCTGAGTTAATGTATTTTTAATTATGTGTTAGGCCTGCCCACCACCGTCTTCTATGCGTCGCACTACCTCCCTGGTCATTACAAAGATTCTAATATTCCTGAAATGGCCATAAATGGCCACTGATTGAAATCCGTCTTGTAAAAAGAGAGAGGAGTGTGCTGTAACAGCATCTGAATTATTCAGCTGGCTCGTATACGGGTAATAAATTGCTGATGTTTTTATTGGTGTCTCAGCTAAGTATTATTTAACCTTGCTTTAAACTGCTTACTTCCATGCTGAGTGCCTTTTAACTCCCATCTATTTCCCTGTGCCTTTCAAATATTGATGCTGAGTATTGGAGGGTTGACTGAGTGCCAGCATGGGACCCCTGGTCCTCGCTCCCGCAGCAGCCTTCCAGACACACACTCAGAAACACACTCAAAGACTCAGAGTGAGAGGGAAGGCGTGCCAGCTTCTAGCACTCTGTGTTCCCGCAGTCTCTTAAAGTTTGGGTGCGCAAATGATTCATGTTCCGTCAATCCAGAAATGTGACTATGAGATCAGTAAACAGACACTGGATGTGTTTGAAAAGCGGGTATTGTTTAGCCCACAGACAGATTTCCACAGAGTTTTGTATTCTGATCGCTTAAATCACAGAGGCACAGGAGTTGTGTTGTTGCAGTAGAATATGTGCCAGTTTACCTTTAAGCATAATGATTTTCTCTTTTAAGATGTGGCTGAAGCAGACTTTTTTCCCTTTTGGATAAAGTAGAATGAAAAATATTTCAGTTGTTTTCAATAATACACTGCGATTAGTGGGTTATTTCGATAACTTGAGCACCTCTGCCTCGTGTGTTACACATGCTGAGAGTGGTCAGGCAGTTATAGGTTTTACTCGCCTCAGCACAGATCTAGGGCTTATGCCACCCTGGCCTGGTATGGAAATAGCACTGAGGGGGATTGCTGTGTGTTCCTGACAGTAATAGACGTGTGAATGTGCTAATATCATCTGGGGTTTAGCCTCGTGCTTAGTTGGTGGTTTCTCCTCGCCCTTTTCCTCCAACCCATTTGTTGTCTGTCTGTCTATCTCCCTGTCACCTTACAGCAGCAGCAGCTCCAGGCACAGCACCTCTCCCATGCTGCCCATGGGCCTCCAGTCCAGTTGCCGCCTCACCCCTCGGGCCTGCAGCCCCCTGGCATCCCCCCTGTGACGGGCTCCGGATCAGGGCTGCTGGCGCTAGGAGCTCTAGGGAGCCAAGCCCACCTCCCAGTAAAGGATGAAAAGAACCACCATGATCTCGAACACCGAGGTGAGAAGAAGAGCTCGGCCCCATAGCTTTGTTAGCTAGTTATTATTTGCGAGAATCAAAAGGCATATTAATTTTAGCAGTTCTGAAAAGATGTTAAACTGACATAAACCAATTTAGTGCTGAGTGCTTCTCACTCTCACAATCATAGGGTCCTTAGGTGAGGAGCACATCCTGTCTGTTCACATTCTGTCTGGGTAATGAGCTGGTACATTCCCAGCCCATGACTGCATAAGCTATTCAGCAGCTCCAATACACGCCGATAAGAGGGGCCTTGTGCCCTGCAGTTGATTGTCACACATTCGGCTAGAAGCATCTGTTATGATGTGCTAAGTGACTTGTTTTTCTCTTTGCTCCGCTTGGTTTCATCTTTACCTCGGACGCCACCGTGATGTCTGCGACACAGAGAGCACGGTAAGTTTCCCGAGCCGCACTCGTTTTGCTTTTTTGTAATTCATCACATTTTCATCTGCGCTGCAAGTGTCAAGTAGAGCCTTCCATCAGTGCATGCATATACTGATTTCATGCGGTGTAATCTGAGTTCAATAAAATGATTAATGGAAAATGAGGTCTGGAATATAAATCGTGTGTGTTTAATCCAGAAGGGGAAATGACTGGTATCATGTGAGATAGATTAGAAGCCTTGTAATTTCATCACAATTAAAGAAGGGCTTGGACTTCCCCTTCTTAAAGGATTTATTTGATCCCTTCTACTGTCTCCCTTGTTTACCAGCTCTCTCTCTTTCTTCTTCTTGGCATGTGATGAATATTTATGAACACAAATGGAGTGTTGTTTTGTTTTTCTTTTCTTTTTTTTCTTCTTCTCCACCTCGTCTGGCTGGGCCTGCTAAAGCGTTATATTTGAAATGCTGCGATCTATGATGGCTTGTGATGGGCCTGTGAGATTGTGTTTCTGTAGGCCGGGCCAGCTGAATGGGTGCAGTCATGTCTGAAGAAATGGAAGTCCTGGGGCGATTAGCGGGCCTGTTTTGTTTCTGTGCTCTCGTCCCTGGTCATCTGATAGTAGAATGGTGACTTTGGCTAATGAGTCACGCTAAGCATCTCTTTAAAGGTCAGCCATTATGCAGACAGTGGCTTTTTGCCCAGACTGCTAGTCCATCAGCCATTGTTCACTTCTCTGAGTCGCCGCTGACTTAGTCCATGTTTTCGCTTTGGTCCTCAGATGAGGGACAGAGAGAATCGGGAGAACTTGGCAGTTTACAGGCAAGTGGCAAACTCCTGTGAAAGCTGCTGGACACCTGCCTAAAGCCTCCCATTCTTTTGGCATTTAGAGTGAGCTGTCCCAGCTTGTGTGGGCAGGCTCCATGAAGAAGCACCAGTCAGTCCCACGCTGCCGTGCCCACTGGCAGGATATAGATTGTCTTTCTTTATCTGAGCTCAAAGCCTCAGCTGACATGGTGCCCAAGCGCACTACGGCAATCAATGCCCAGCACCCAAAACATATAGGTTCTCTCCCCCCTCTCTCTCGCTTTACTTTCGTTTTTCTCTCCTCCCATCTCTATCTCTCTCTCTCTCTCACGCTCAGCCTGACTGAAAAGGCCCTCTGTTCAGCTACAACACACTGCTCATGTCCCTGTGAGGCTGTTTGTTGTCCAGTTATGAGGAGGAGGGAGCCCAGCTCGGAAAACAAGCCCTCCTCCATTCAGTTCAGATAACAGCCCATTCTGTTGTGTGGCCAGGGACAGGCTTGTGTGCGAGATTGGGCTTGGCTGGTGTCAGGGTACTGTTTGGAGCTGGCCTACAGCTGCATTTTAAGAGTCCGCCGTATCCATCATTGTGTGAATAAGGCATTTTTAGTGTTTGGATTGGCACAGTGTGTTCTCTGTGAATTTGTAATGGATGAGTGACTTGCTGCGCTCTCTTACAGAAGGAAGACAAAATGGTAATAAAGCGTGTTTGGTTTTTCCCCTTTTGCAGAATAACTCAATATCCCCATCAGAAAGCTTACGCACAGCCAGTGAGAAGCATCGCAGCTCCTCAGACTACAGCTTGGATTCTAAGAAACGCAAAGTGGAGGAGAAGGACAGCATGAGTAGATATGTAAGTCCCTGAAGGAGTAGTTCAGCATGACGGGGAAATATGCTTATGCTTATGAATATGCTTATGAATGGTGACTTAAAAAATTGCTTTAGGTTCACAATTTAATTTAAAAAACTAATGAAGTTTAGACCAGAGAACAACATCCCTGGAGTCTGTGCTTTAATTTTTCCCCATCTGTGTGTGTTAAGTTAAACGATTACTAATTATTGTTACAGGACAGTGACGGAGAGAAAAGCGACGACTTGGTGGTCGATGTGTCCAATGAGGTGAGCTGCACAGCAATTGTTCGTAGCACATTGATGTGACATTGCTCTTATGTAAATATTACTGGTGTGTTTCTCCAGGATCCTGCCACTCCAAGGGCAAGCCCAGCCCACTCACCACCTGAAAATGGTATTGACAAGCCCCGCCCCCCAAAGAAAGACACACCCAACAGCCCCGCATCAGTGGCGTCATCTGGAAGCACCCCTTCCTCCAAGGCTAAGGAGCTCAGTCATGTAAGACATCAAAAGAGTTGTGGACAAACTGGGACAGAAAGGGTTTTAAATGACAATTGCCGAGAGACCAAAGGGACATGTGCAAATAGATCTAGGACGTTTTCTGCAGTGGATTAGCAGTGGCTGTCTGTGCTTTAAGTGCATGACTAAACGTCAGGGATAATATTGTCCCGCATCAGGATCAGTCAGGTCTTCTCTGTTAATAGCTCAATGTATTTAACTATTCCAGGATTTTTCCCTCTGCCTCACTAAAAGATTAAAGCCAAAGCAGTAAGGGGATAAAAACGTCCCCATCTCCATTGTGACCATAATAGGTTTTAGAATAAATAGCAGTTTATGGCTCTGCAGGACTATGAGGGTTGTCAGAATTAGATTGGATTAAGTTCAGTTTGCTTTCAAATTGTCAGTGCACAGTGCCTGGTTTCCGGGATTGTGATTGTGCTTGCTCTCTCGTTCCCTTGACAGAATGACAAATCCTCCACGCCTGGTCTCAAATCCAACACCCCCACCCCCCGAAACGATGCCCCCACCCCTGGCACGAGCTCGACTCCTGGGCTCAGACCCATCCTGGGCAAGCCACCAGGCATGGAAGCTCTCGGTTGGTACCATTCTCTTCACTTTACAGAAACTGAGATCTTTTTTTTCCATTATTTGCAAAACTGTTAGGCCACAAACCGATCTCCATCTCCTGTCTTTGTCTACAGCAGCCCCAGCTTTGCGCACACCTCTATCCATTGCAGGGTCCTATCCTACCCCCTTTGCTATGATGGGCCATCATGAAATGAACGGAGGCCTGACTAGCCCTGGGGTGTATGCTGGTCTGCACATCTCCCCTCAGATGAGCGCTGCAGCAGCAGCAGCCTATGGACGCACTCCCATGGTAAAGGCTTTCCCTTTCCTTTTCTGTAGTTTTGGATCATCTAAAAGTCATGTACAGGATGCAATGAGGGATTTTACTCTGATAACAGTTGAGTATGTTAGTCAAACATTCCCATATCATCTTTTAGGGGTTTGATCCTCACACCCACATGAGAGCCCCGGGCCTCCCAGCCAGCCTCACATCTATTTCTGGCGGAAAACCGTAAGTGTCTCCCTAGATATGTTGCAGATCAATTTTTTTGTAACACAGCTGATATCAAATACTGACAGGCACGTGTCTTTTCCTTCAGAGCGTACTCCTTCCATGTCAGCGCAGATGGTCAAATGCAGCCTGTGCCCTTCCCACCCGACGCCCTCATTGGTCCCGGTATTCCACGCCACGCCCGTCAGATCAACACACTGAGCCATGGTGAGGTGGTCTGTGCTGTCACCATTAGCAACCCCACACGTCACGTTTACACTGGTGGCAAAGGCTGTGTCAAAATCTGGGACATGAGCCAACCAGGCAGCAAGAGCCCCGTGTCCCAGCTGGACTGTTTGGTGAGGACCTCATCAGCTTTTCTTAATGTTTACACACATGTTATTTCATTCAACACTAGAAAAAAATTAACAAGCCAAACACTTATTCACATAGTTCAGATTAGGTTTGAGGTTCAATCTTTGGTTTATTTGTTATGACAGGACGTTTTTTATCCTCCGCCCATGATTTGTTTGTTTCTAAAGCTCTCCCTAGCTCCACTGCCTTGAACATGTATTGATTTGCTTTGTCCTCGGTGCAACAGAACAGGGATAACTACATCCGCTCCTGTAAGCTACTGCCTGATGGTCGCACATTGATTGTTGGAGGCGAGGCCAGCACACTGACCATCTGGGATCTGGCCTCCCAGACACCGCGGATCAAAGCTGAGCTCACCTCCTCAGCCCCGGCGTGCTACGCCTTGGCCATCAGCCCTGATGCCAAAGTCTGCTTCTCGTGCTGCAGTGATGGAAACATTGCCGTTTGGGACCTGCATAACCAGACTCTCGTTAGGTCGGAAACAAAACTTTATTTCCAGTATGTGGGCTTGAGTCAATTTAAAAGATAATGTCAATAACTGTCTGTATGCCTTCCGATTTTGATTTTAGGCAGTTTCAAGGTCATACGGATGGTGCTAGCTGTATTGACATATCCCATGATGGCACTAAGCTGTGGACAGGTGGTCTCGATAACACTGTTCGCTCCTGGGATTTGAGAGAGGGTCGACAGCTGCAGCAGCACGACTTCACTTCACAGGTACAACGCTGCATAATGCAAGGGGCCAGACCTGGAGTCTGTTTTCCTTTCGGCCGAAGAACTGTCTGTAATTATTGTCCTGTTTGATCTCCAGATCTTTTCTTTGGGCTACTGTCCGACTGGCGAGTGGCTTGCTGTGGGAATGGAGAGCAGCAACGTGGAAGTGCTCCACCATTCAAAGCCTGACAAGTATCAGCTCCACCTGCACGAAAGCTGTGTCCTTTCCCTCAAGTTTGCCTACTGCGGTATGAACAAACACACAAAAAGAGCATCAGATAAAGCTGACCGTATTTAACTGTGAAGAGCCCTTTGCCTGTCCTTATTAGTGCCTTTTTTAAAATAGCGTAAATGCTTGTTGTCATCTCAAGGCTACTCTTCATTTGTAGGTACTTTTCCTATTACTTGTTAGTGAAAAGTGTCCTGATGGCACTTTTGTTGTTTTTGCAGGTAAATGGTTCGTAAGCACCGGGAAGGACAATCTGTTGAATGCTTGGAGGACTCCTTATGGCGCCAGCATATTCCAGGTATGCAGATCAATGGACTCTGTCTGTAGCCAGGCCAAACGTACACACAGATCTCTAAGAGGAAGGGCAAAACGACCGCTGTCTGACAGGACTATCCTATCAGTGAAAACTGAACCTGAATTATTGACCTGACAAAGACGCCTTTTTGAGGCCCGTCAGGCCAGAAGTTGCTGTCAGTGCAATCTAATCTTGCCATGAAGTCAGCTAATTTTCACCACTTAACTTACTCAGCAACATTTAAGTTTAACTGCCTCCAAGATTAAAGTGTTTTTTGTGTGTGTGTTTGCTTTTCTTTAAACAGTCCAAGGAGTCCTCATCTGTCCTGAGCTGTGACATTTCTGCAGACGACAAGTACATCGTGACAGGCTCTGGTGACAAGAAGGCCACTGTGTATGAAGTGATCTATTAGAAGAGACTGCTTTGGATCGGAGCATGCTCAGGAACAGTAGACACTTCCTCCATCCTCCTTCCCTCACACAGACAGCATGGATGTTGCCTGCAGCTCCAAGGTGGATGGGCAGGAAGTTTGGCAGTGCCAGACGAAAATGGATGGTGGTGTTATTGTGGCACTGGATGCTGTGTCCTTCGGCTCTGCCCTTCCTCACTCATACAACTAACACTTGTACAGCGAGTGCAGTTTCCCAAGGCACCGAGAAGAAAATAATGTCTTGCTGTTTCTGTTTGTTGGATATTTCTTTTTTTATTCGTCCTTTTTAATGTGGAGATAAAGTTCCATGACACAAGTAGAAGCGGCGCTTCGCTCTGGAGCTTCTCCTTGGAGGTCCTGTGAAAAGTGTACATAATGGAGTAATAAAAGGCCTTTTATAGATTTATATTTTGGTGTCCAGTTACGCTTGTGATGGTTCTTTCTTGTTCTCTCCGTGATTTTCTGTCCCCTCCGGGGATGGAAATTAGATTAGGACTTTGTAAGAGGATATTCTATTTCAGTTTTTTCCCCCTCCTCGGCTTTTTTTTTTTTTTTTTTTTCATGTTCCTTGTCCAAAATGACCTTTTCGGAAATCTAATTTGTATTTTTTTTTCTCCCTGACAAAGGCTTTTTTTTTCTTCGCTATTTGCTGTATCACAGACATTTGTCCCATGGATTTTTGCAGTCGAGAATTCTGGAAAGGCTTTTTTTTCTGTAGGGAGGAAAAAAATCATGGTTTCCAGTTATGTTTACCCTTTTGACCCTGATCAGCAGAATTTCAGCTTTGAAATGAAGACCTTTCACTGAACCCTGGCTCCTGTCTATAACATCAAAATGGATTTATATCAACTGTCGGATTGATGGGTTTTAGAGAGAAGCAGCTGTGACTTGAGCTCACTCTGTTGACTCAACCACTGTATGAAAACTTTGCTCCACTCTGCAAAGTTTAGCCATCAGTCTATTAGAGATCGTTATTGCCGCTTGTGTTTGCGAGCCTGTGACTGATACGCAAGACTTGGTTACTCATAAAGGACGCAGGCAACGCCATTACCACGTTCGACATTTTGGGTGTATTCTTTGCTTTCTTCAGTATTTCATAATATTCACTACAATCTTCTCATAGACGGGAATGGTCTCATCATAAACACAAGTTAAGACTGTGTAGCATACATGTGGCATCATCCATAAGGACTGTACAGCTGACAGTTGTTGATAAATCAATAAACTGTTTTATATAAAATTTATCTTGACTGGATTTCTGTAGTGCTGTGGTCTCGCTGTGGTAGATTTCCAAGGATTAGTTGGAGACTTTGGAGTAATATGGTTATTAGCTCTTTTTTTTGTAAAGCATTAAATTGAGTGTATGACTGAAGATGAAGTTGCCAACAGAATCCACCTTAGCGTCATGACCAAACATGCAGAAATAGCTTAACTACCTGCAAATCTAAACCTTTTTTTTTTCTTTTTTTTTAAAATTTTAATCTCAACAGGTGTATGTGCCCAAATGTTACTATTATTTGTTTGGTTAGGCTCACTTTAAAAAGAAGAAAAAGCCTCCAGAAAGTTACTGAAGCCATCCAAGAAATGTTCCAGAACGCAGCCTGGCATAAAACCACGTGTCGTTTTTGCACTTTGGTTTTTGGATTAAACAAACAAGGCATAATGTGTTAATTGGTAAGCTTTAGAGGAACTGATAAACAGATTTTGTTATTGCCAGACTGTCTAAGGCTACCCGTTTCTCCCTTGCCTGTCGGTTCAAATTTACCAAACAACTCCTGGCAAGAAAGATGCCAAACCATTTGTTTAAGGAAAGAAGCTTAAAGTCACTGATTAATATTTGCTTTTACAGTGCGGCCAACAGTGGGTGTGGTAAAACACCTAAAGCACTTACTGCTGTTGAGGGCAATGCACCGACATGCTGAACGTCTCTCGGGCTTGCTTTTTCCTCTTCTAAAAACTAAAAATGCAACCTCAAAGTCCCCCTTGTCCTGTGTGTTGCTAGTGAGGGATCTCCCTTGCTCTAGCTTGCATCTACATTACATACAATCTTATTCACGGGCTGCTCTTGACAGTAAATGGAAGCACATCAGCAAATTGCTGTAAATGCATTCAGATAGGAGCTGACAACTGTCTCAGGAGAACCACAGACACGATAGAAAAAACATTCTGGGTGCAGTTAGCGAGGGTTGCTATGGACCTTTGCCATTGGTTTTAACTCCGAAGATTACAGAGCTTGCATTAATATTTGAGGGATGAACTTGATGCAACTTTCAAAGTCGCGTCGTGCTGTACCAACTGTGTTCACTGTCACGGCTAGTGACTTTTTTTAGAGTTTGGATTTATGCATGGTGGCAGCTATGAAATCACACGCCCATCACAGAGTGATACAATAAGGCAGAGGTTTATGAAGTGCCACTTCAGAAATATGACGTAAACACTGCTCTCGAGTTCCCTTGAGTGGTCTTTTGGTAGTTGAATACTTTTGGGCTGGACGGGTGAATGGCCCAATCCCTCCACTCCAGAGCAACGCTCTCCTAGGACTCTGTGCTTGAAGCTGTGAGCCCTTCATATGGCTGCCTCTTCAAACATGTTGTTGTTAGATTATAAAAGCGGGGCCGGATGCTTTTAGCATGGAGCCAGCCGCCATGCCCCGCTCTCACGGGCTCATTTGTTAAAGGCTATAGTCTTTCTTTTCCCACATTGCTGAAGTGTGTACTTCCTGTGCGCATTTGTAGCTCAAGCTTCTTGCTCAAGTACAGTTTTCTTCCTCACTTAATCAAACAGTGGAATATCTGCAGATGAAAGGTTGTACCTCTGAGTGCCTATTGCAGGACATTGAAGGGGTCATTGTCTCGCCTTCCGCTGATCTACCTCTGAATGGAAGGCTTTCAAACAGGTTCTCGTGCAAAAGCCCATGGTGCTCTGTTCTATTTAGAGAACAGCAACAGTGCAGTGTAAGGAAATAGAGTGGCCTAAGTGTTTTACAGCAGCTCTGTGGATAAGAACGTGGTCCAGTTCTCTTCTTCTCTTTTGCATTGTCAGAGCCAAGACTCAAAGACAATACAGAAATTCAAGGGTGGGCTGTAATGCCAGTGTGTGCACTGTGTGAATGTCTTTTTTTCTTCTTTTTTTTTTTGGTTGTATTTTGTTTTGTTTTTTTAGCTTTAACTCTCAGGCACTGATCACAGTCCACCAGATTTCTGGCTGGTTCTTTTGGCTGGCATTCTGTTTTCTACCCTCCCCCATCCATCACACAGAGAATCAGGATTTATTTATTTATTTTTCAACAGCGAGGGACTGGCACCGTGCTGAAATGCAGAATAATAATCCCCTAATCACCTGAGTATTGCCAGTCCTAGGTTTTATCTGCAATGGACGTGAAAGCCCCTAGTGCCTAGTGATTACAGCATTTGATCTGGGTAATAATGTCTTCACTGTTGCCCTGCCTAGGGCCCGAAGGCAGCACAGCTCTAATCCACAGTGCATTCTAGTGGAATCGCATTACACAAAGACCACCAGGGTTCTCCTCTAGAGGGGAGGGGTGTGGGGGGTTAAAGGAGGAGGTTGCCATGGAAACAAGCTTCTCTTTCTCTCTCTCACAGACACACACGCACACTAATACATCACACGCGCATACACACATACTCTCTCCTGGGACAGATAAGCAAAGGACAGGTTCTGTGTTTACTTTCCGCAGACCCTCCAATCCCCGAGCAGGCTGAGCCCTGATAACACGAGGCCTGTACAGCCAGCGACCACTGACAGCAGATAAGCACTCCAGCAGAGCAGAGCAGTCATCACCCTCCAACCAGGATGAACAAACCTGGGAGACCCGGATTCATTTGGATTAGACTGGATTGCTGCTGCCACCGCTGCCGCCGCTGCTGCTGCTTTTGCTGTCGCTGGTGTGTTCAGACTACTGATGTTCACAGGACTTTCTACATGAGAACTTGATGCCGCACTTAATCCTGTGGCGTCCCAGAGTTTAGTCAGAGGACACGGCCACAGTAGTGGACTGGGAGCTATTTTAGACACTGAGGTCAAAGGAGTGTCTGCTCTGGGCAGGTTTACGTGGCTGCAGTTACAGAACCGCGGAAAAATTTCTCCTAACATGTCCCAGAGACAAACACCACACATTATTAGTATTCTGCTTCAACATTTGTCCATGTGTGCTGTTTTTGTAATGGAGAAGGTTGGAGATCTGTGAGGACATTCCTTTATATTGGTCCCAAGTATCCACTAAAATCCGGTAATTCAATACCAGGGGTAATTAGATTTGTATGATAGTAATGCCCCAAGAAAGAACCAACACGGTCTTTGATGTTGAGATCAAGACGGCTACAAGTACTTCTTTATTATGTGCATTATGCTAACATGCTAATTATTTTTCCACACACATTCTTTGATTAAAGCACAGCTGGAGGTGTATAAGCAACATAACTAATTACAGAGGAAATGGAGGTACTGAGCTAAAGTGGTGGAAGCTGGATTTCCCTTTGGCCCCTTCTTCTCACTGTTTACTTCTAATGCATACTTCATTTTTTTTGAGAAAGCCAGTTACCAGCTTTGACCACTTACTCTGAAATAATAGAGGGGGACAGTGAACAAATATAAGGTTTGTAAGCCTATATTTCCTAAGTAGTTAATATTGATTCAACTCTATATGCCAACTGTGTATAGTAGCTTCTGTTTGTTGTTCTCTGTGGGATAAGATATAGTTGCTTTCAGTGACAGTTAGCCACAAAATACAGGGCATATTCATAAGGATAATATTATCGACTACTTAGTACAAAACATGCAACAAGTAGTCTTCTCTCTAAACTTTACAGCACCCTGTGGCTTTTCCCTAATATATATCCCACTTGATATTCACAACTTCAGATTCTGCAGTGAAGCCTTAGAAGGCAGGTGTATCTTGCATGCACTGTAAATGCTGCTACACAGGCCTGAAGCTATACTTCACATTATTCATTACTAAGAAATTTAAAAAAAGGGGAGCTTTGTGTTATATCGGTCCACCTGCCAATCTGAATATATTTATTATTGGTTTTCAAAATGAACAGAAGCTCAAAATTAAATTTTCATGTATATGTACACACGTGTAAATAGGTATAAGGTAAATAGCTAAAAGTGAATTTAATTGTCACTTCACGTGATTATTTGAGATACAACTCCTTTAGATAACTAGGTGGTATAACTTTGATCAAATCAGCTAAAAGGTAGGGGTGAGCATTCACTGGGCACCTTTCTAGTATTCGAGTAACTCATGATGTTCAAGAAAACAGTTTGATGTGATCTTTGTGACATGCTGTGTCATCCAGACATCGAAAAACAGCTGCACTCTGGTCATAAATAGATAGACATGGTGAGCAATAATACTCAGGCAGGCTGTGATATTTAAAATATCATAAAATGATACTAAGGGGCACGAGAAAAGATCCCCCACACCATTATTAAGATTAGCATGAACGCATGCTTTCATATCGTTTACGCCAAATTCTGACCATACCACCTAAATGTGACAGCAAAAACATAGATTCATCAGATTAGATAATGGTTTTAGAATCTTCTATTTTAGAAGCCTGTGCAAACTAGCCTCAGTTTCTTGTTTTTAGCTGACAGGAATGCCACCAGATGTGGTCTTCTGCTGCTGTAGCTCATCTGCTAAAATGTTTGACTTGTTGCGCCTTCAGAGACGCTCTTCCGCATATTGTGGTTCTAACAAATGGATATTTGAGTAACTGTTTCCACTCTATCGGCTTTTCTCTTCTGACCTCTGAAAAGTGCTGCTCAATGGATATTTTTGCTTACCATTTTCGGTAAACACTAGCAATGGTTATGTGGGGAAAATCCCAGCAGATCAGCAGTTTCTGAAATACTTTAAGCAACCACATGAAAGTCACTTAAATCAATCCTTTTCCCTGTTCATATTCTCAGTTTCAACTTTGGCAGATCCTCTTGACTATGACTCCACGTCTACATGCACAGAGTTTGTGCCATATGAATAGCAGATATTTGCATTAACTGCAATATCTAATCATTTGTCCCAAAAAAGTGGCCAATGATTGTTTATCACCCAAACACAGGTACTGGATGATATGAAATATTTTAGAATAACAAAAATATATTAATTAATTATGTGGAGGAAAAAGCATTGTCATTCTGAACAGATACCTAGCTTGAGGTTTTGTTTGTAGCTTTCAACACGTAGCTCTGTCTCTTCTCCATATGTTAGCTGTATTCG